GACCGGTCATAAATTTCCTAAAGTGATTGTGGCCGTGGTTGTGGTCGTTGCTGGCGTCAGTGTCGTCCGAGGGTGTTCATTGGGTCTCGCACCACTTGAGGCCTGCCCGTCTATGTGGTGGTTGTGATAGTTGTATTGTTGTTGTTGTTGGTGGTGGTGGTGGTGGTGGTGGTCTTGGTCTGGGAGAGGGGGGGAAGACGGGTAGGGACGGTCGCTAGGACCACCAGTTGGATGCATGGCAGACTCAGGCATTGTGGATATTTTGTTTTACTACCTGGAAAATTGCGGGCGCTGCAGGTTGGTGCATGGCCGCTATCCCATGCAATCTGAGTTGTTGGACGGCCGCTGCCGTGATCGCAAGAAAGATGCGCTGGCTAAAGGTCGAACAGGGCTTGGCGCTGCCCCCTTGTCCCACCCCAACCTTAACACTTACCATTGACGAATCGGAACACGGCCACTCCCCTTCTCACGTATCCTCGTACCCTCCTCTCCTCTCACGTCCTTGGTCTTTGATTGTGACAGCTGCATAGACTGCATTTCCATTGTCACACGAATTGCGTGTACAACCAACAAAGTTAACAAAGTTGAGGGAAAAGCAAAAGCCACCACCGCCTTGACATGGTCAAAACAGCATCCCATCTTCTGCAACTTGAAACCTCGTCGCCCGGCTATTCTCATGCACAGCAGCCTGCTCACATTCTTGGACAAGTTCGCTGTGTAGCCACCCAACCAGCCCATCTGGTAATTCATCCAGTATTTGCATCTCCGCTTTCCCATTGAGCATAAGCATGGACTGCAATGCCCCTCTCCACTCCTGCTCTGGGCCATCATCAGCGCACAAGTCCCACTCCAGCATCCTCATCGCTTTGCCGCGATCTCGCCATGTCAACTTCATGACACCCTGCAGTCGTGGTATCGCACCTGTACCCGTGTCACTCTCGCCAACCGGAGTTCGGCTGATCTGGTGTGCCTTGACTCCAAGCCAGCGGATATTGGGCAAGCTCAATCCAGGTCTATCATTCGTCGTGACGTCTTCGTGAGCAAGCCGGTATGACCCATACTTGTACGTGGACATGATGGCAATTCCATCAGGATCCAGGTCCATCAATGCATACATGGGGATGCGAGGGTTATCACCGGCCAAGTTACGAAGAAATCTTCTCGAGGCTATATCAGGATACCCTTTTGCCTGTCACGAATGAGTCCATGTCCAGAAAAGAGAGGCACTTTCTTACCGTTAGTACTACACCAAATGCTTTCAGCGTCTCCCATTGTGGGGAGCTCAGCAGAGCTCGAAACGTTGCCTGAGAGTCGGTGTGAGTAAGGTACAGTCAGTAGAGTCATGGACATGCCTCCTTCTCAATGATCAAGATCCAGCGAATCCTGCTCAGCTTCAGTGTGTCGTTGTCTTCGATGGTCGGGACCAGAATACCCTGACGACTCAGTAAGCAGCTGAACTTAGAACGTGCATCACTGTGCCTACCTCCGTCTCATGTATAGCGTGTACTTCAAGACCGGAGGCTCGCACGATCGTGAAGTTTCCAGCGACCAAGCCTTTTGCTGCAGCAGTCTGGTCAAATCAGTGATGGACACGCTTTCTTGAAGGACAATGAGTCGTACAACGTTCAGTTGGGATCTCGTGATACCAAATGTACATGCCAGGTCATCGACGTACCGGTCTACCACGGCTTGCTTGAGGAACAGATCCGGATGATGGTAATATATGTCACTAGAAAAATTCAGTCACATCAGTAAACATTCGTAAAAGCCACGGCTGCGAGTCGGTATTACCGCTTGGTCATGACCGTGTTCTTGACAAGACCGCCATGGATGATGTCCAGTATGCGTAGGAGCACAGCTGACGGAGATCAGCAGCCATGGAGCTAACTTTTAAAAGACTCACTGAAGTTCCATGCCTCTTGTGCACCTGTTCCAGGAAAGCTGATATTTCGTTCCTTTGGGTCAGGAAGCAGAGGCTTTCCTTCTTCGAGTTTACCTTGTCGCCGAGATAGACCTGCTCGTGATCTCAGGGTGATGGTCATTGGACGGTCCTCTTCAAGGAGACTATCTATGCATCTTTCCAGCATGGCTTCGATGCAAGCAATGACGTAGAATCTGTTGCATATTTTAGTTACATGCAGGAACAACATAAATATATTTCTATGCTTCACCTGTCGCGCAAAGGTGGTGGATGGTCTGAGCCACTGGTAGCAGTGCCGTTAACAACAGTGTTTGAGCTGCAAGGCTCTTGTTCGCTCGTGACTTGTGTGGGCAATCGTGCATCTTGTACATCCCACAACGTAGGCTCGTCATCGAGATCAGCAAAGAGAATGTCACATTCGGATCCATCGCTGTAACTGCCATCGATATACTCCTGCGAGCTCAGGCCCTCAAACAGTATGTCGTCGAAGAGACCACCCATTTTACCAACAGCGATCTTGGCGAAACGAAAACGGAGAATCATACAAGAGGGTGAGCCGACAGAAGGTAGACAAAGAGAAGAAATCAGAACACGTGTAAGAGTACGAAAGTAAAGGCGGGGCAGAAGAACTAATGCTTAGAAGGAGAAGGGGCGATCTTAAGACTGTGAGGGCAACTGCAGACTTCATCGCGGTTGCTCAATACCGTCGGCCCCAGTCACGTGGAAAGACGTTCATATGTATACCTAGTTGACTGGTGTAAACAGCGTATGCTTGCCGGCCACCGCGCCCACATACCGACACTCGAAACCGATATCCTGAACGCAAATGCATCATCAATGGCCTTGCATGTATTGAAAAGAGATAAAGTTTACTCGGCACTCTTTGGCGATGAAAACAAGAGTTGACGGGCTGTTGAGCCGAGTTGCGTCAAAGGCAATTCTGGCTGAGAAATTCACGTCATTGTAACCCCGAGCTAATATCTGCTATAACCCGTATCATTCGACGCCTTGAACCGTGAACAGGAAAGGATGTCAACATTATTAGATTGATGCGGATGGTTTCTGGTTTCAAAGATCCGTGGACAACACCTGTCGGGATGGCACGTGCGGACTACGCCTTTCCTAGCTAGGAAATCAGCATATGGTTCTGGAAATAGTGCGCGCATTCGCGTTTCCAGATACGCGTCGCGACTTCCCCACACGCGTCTCCTCCACCGTCTGCTTCTACCACCAACAAACACGCAATCATCCCGCTCCTACGCAATTCCGCTATTGCAAAGTGGGTGCCTGCCCCCTCCTGATCCAGTTTTCAGTTTCGACAGACGATTTGATTGAGTTTGCATCTCCAAAGCACAATCATGGAAAACCCAGCACAAGCTGCGCCAATCGCTCAGAAGCGTCCCCTGGAAGAAGATGTCGAACCCTCTACACCTGTCAAGGCGATTAGATCAGAAACATCCACACCGTTATCTGTTCTTTCAGTCCAGACACCCTCGCCTCCAAAAACCAGCGGTCCCACCTTGACAGCCCCCGCTAGTACCAATACACTGCAGACTCCCACTCAGTCAGCCAAAAGACGCAGGCTCACATCGCAAGAGAAGGAGGAACAGCGTCTGGAAAAGGAGGCCAAGGCCAAGGCACGGGACGAGAAGAAGGCACAGAAGGAAGCCGAAGACAAGTTGAAGGCGGAGAAAAAAGCCCAGAAAGAGGCCGAGGACAAACTGCGGGCTGAACAGAAGGCACAAAAGGAAGAAGAGAGACGAAAGAAAGCCCAAGAGCGAGATGAGAAACGGAGGCAGAAAGAAGAGGAGGCGCAGCAAAAGGAAGAGGAGAGACTTAGGAAAGAACGAGTAAGCCTGCTGGGATCGAAACACACTTGTGCGATTGCTAACACAATGTCAGTCTCAAATGAAGCTGAACGCCTTCTTCGCAAAGCCAAAAGATTCTGGAAGCAGTGGAAGACAGGCAGCGGTAGCCTCCACCCATGAACCCCTCGCACAATCAGTATCATTATTACCAGACCGAACCGGAGCGGTTACTAACTCGCTCCCCCCATCTCCACAGAAGAGTAGCATCAAAAATGCGCAGTCAGACTACGATCGATATTTCCTCCCGTTCAATTTACCTGCGCATACCATACTGGCTTCCAAGAACAGTTTACTAGACAATCCTGCCAAGTTAGAAGCTGCTCGGAGTCGGCTTGACAATTTGATTGCAAATGGAGCTACCTCCAATGACTCCATCACATGGCAGACTTTGCGTTGCTTATTTCCATCACGACATCGCCGAGGGTTCAAGACTGCGACAGTAACGGAGATCATTGACTGTGTCAACGCCTCGTCTGATTGTCCCATTAACTTGACCGCTGACGTGACTACAAGTACGCGACAGCCCCTAGACATGCTCAAGGACATTCCAATGAAATACATTCACTTCTCAGAAGATGTCCGCCCTCCATATTATGGCACATATACCAAAAACTACGGGGATGCAGAAGCGCGTCGGCTGGCACGTAATCCCATTGCCCGTGTTCGCAAAGATACACAGTATGACTACGACTCTGAAGCCGAGTGGGAGGAGCCAGAAGAAGGTGAAGATCTCGATTCGGACGGAGAAGATGATGGCGACGAAGATATCGAGGACGATATGGATGGCTTTTTGGATGATGATGAAGATGCTCAACTGAAGCGACGACTCATCAGTGGCGATCTTGTTCCTGTCAGCACTGGCCTATGCTGGGAGGATTCAGACCATGTCTCGAAGCTGAACGATGGATCAGGAGCCATCTGTACCGACTTCAAAGACTTCACCATGGGATACCTGTTCGATCAAGAGGTTGTCTCAATTGATCCCTTCTCTGATTCATACTGGTCACCTGAGCCTTCTCAGCTCACATCAGCCGCAACGACAACGAACAAGGGACCGACTGGTGATGGACCCATGAATCCCCCTCGGGCGCCTCTGGCACAGCGCACCATGAACGGCCTCCTCAACACCTTGAATACTCCTTCGGTACCACAAGCGGGCAGTTCAGCCAAGCCGGCGAAAGCAAAGCGCATGGTACCTTCTGAACAGCTCCCAGCGTTCAAGGCGGAAGTGGATGGCAAGGACCTGACCAAACTCGGTATGATCGAAGCACTCAAGAAGGCGTTTCCCAAACTCCCGAAAGACGCGATTAGTAACACTTTGAGTGTTGTCGCTGCACGAGTTGGTCCCACCGAGAAAGAGAAGCGATGGGTGCTGATCAATACTTGAGCATGATCACTTGGATCCCATTTCTCTGTTTAACCCTCGACTCTCGGGGACACTTGCTGTCGTGCCAGTCGTTGGCGGTTTCTTTCTATATCCTTGTAACCGATTTTTGGCTCGAGCATATAGATTTCTTGCAGTGCACGCAGAGCCTGCGACAGCATTTCACGCATGTTTTATTTGATTTATCCGAACGTCATTATTGAGCGTCTTCTTAGCGTCAGGCGTTGGAAGGAGTAAAGTACTGTTAGCAGAGATCACAAAGTTTATATCATGAAGGTCAGTCGTCAACGTCGCGGCATGCTCGCAGGGCGTTGTGTCTGTGGACCAATTGCATAGGATGACGCATACTTTTGTACCAATTTTGAACACCACGCAATACTACCGGTACTGTGACTCAGATTACATGCTGTGAACCAAGAATGTGGGGAGCTAACACCATTATGAGATTGTCCGCAGTCCGGATCATGTCATGGTAAGTTGTACGGTCTGCGCCTCCGGTTCACAGTCTCATCAGCAAGCAAACCGGAGTCATACAGTCAGCTGGAAGAAATGACCCCCCAACCTATGCCGCACGCCAGCCGGGTCGTGCCAAGCAGCGCTGCAGCGGAGACATGATGTTCAAAAGCCGAGGAAAATCTGGACGTGGAGCAGGATAGGAATGGGGCCGCTTGAGACATTACTACAAGGCGAGAACCTAGAGCTTACTTACATACCTGGCGGGTTTGCAACATGCAGCGCATGTATTGTGTGAGCATTCACTGGTGACTGCTGTTGACGCTCAAGAATAGCCACCCCGGATTGTACCTATCGGAAGATCCACGTTAAGGCAGGGCCTGAGTCCCCGGGCGCTTGTACGGTAGGTGTTTCGGCGAAGCTGTCGAGCCAATCAAGCCCGTCTTGTAAACGCCCGGATATCTCGAGTGTACTCGAGTGTACGACGCTTTCTCCAAACATGCCGCCAATCGCGTGCAATGATCAATCCCATGCCAGCATGGCTTACCCTCGGCGCTGGAACATCTTTTGTCCCGGAGCATCCCTTCCTTTCGAAGCGCCCAAGTCCACCATTCCCTGGTTCCGGTACTCCCGCATCACCATCAGCAGGCGCTCTCGAGCTGCAATTTCTATCCCTCGCGGCTCTAGGCTGGCGCTCTGGTCGGCATATCTATCTGCGCCATGGCGTGGCTACTACCGTATGGCTAATCCCGCCTTTTAAGAATAGAAATTCCGGGTCTGACTGGCCAATCCTATGCAAACTCCTCTTAGGGTCTAGAGGTACAGATCAGTGAGACCTACAAAGACACCGGGTCGCCTCCGCTATGTCTTCACTTTGAGACGTTTCGTGATTCTTGTTCGGGTTTGCAGGCCGATAGTGTACTCGTAGACACTTAATTAACCCATAGTTTGCCATAGTCGACATTGCGGGCAATCATCGATCATGCCGCCACTCAGTCTCTTTTTTTCTGCCACTGTGCTGTTTATTCAGTTGACGGTTGCCTTCAACTGCTCAGAGGACAAATGGGTCTACGTCGACATTCACAAACGTGCCGTTCATGATTCGCCTGTTTTTCAGTACGGATCCTTCATTGGACTAGCCACACCGGCACAGAACCAGAGTCTATGGCCGTCATTATCGCAGAATCACACGTCGCTTGCAGCCCAGGACTACTGTAAGAATAGTACACTGAGGAATTGCGATAGGTCCACAGGGGGTTTTTTCAACAGCCAGGACTCCAAATCGTAAGTGGACTCGCTCAGCTGGAGAGATTTTCAAGCGCTTACAGGCGTATAGCTTCGTAGAAGACAACGACTTCAGGTCATTAGATCAAGAAGGCAATGTGCCAATTTCGGGCTTCTTCGGCCAAGAAACACTTCGACTGTACACACACTATTTCGAAAATGATCCCGCCTTTCAGACCCCGGTAGAGAATCATACCGTCATGGTGGCAGACGAGGGATCCATAACACCTGGCCGAGTTGGTATAGGATCTTCGTCAACCTTACTCCGAGACCTCGCTGTCAAAGGGGTTATTCCTGGGAAGACGTACTCGCTTTACATTGGACAAGGCTTCGACCGCGCTGGAGGTGCTGTGAATGGGAGCAATGTTTTCGGTGGATACGATGCTGGACGATTCAAAGGCGAGCCACGCAAGTACCCAATGAATCTCGCCAATGTGAACCCAATGAGCGTTCGTATCAAGGACATTGTCATTACCGGTTCAAAAGACAACGCAAACGTATCGCTGTTCGATCATACCACCTTCACGGACATGGACTCACGACCGGAAAATTTTGAAGCCCAGATTACAACAGAACAGTTCCCACTATCCCTTCCTTACCAGATCACCAAGAACCTCATAGATCGTCTAGGTGCTGAGCCAGATAACTCTTGGGGTGACAACTCACTGAAGCTAAAAAATGCCTTCAATGGCACACTTTCCATTGTACTCGAAGATGGCTTCACCGTCACCTTTCCTCCAGAAGTCCTTATGAACGCATCGAACATCACACCAATTCAGTCACGCGACGAACAGTCTACAGCTCCTTATTATCTGGGCTCAGCGTTCCTTGGCCAAGTCTACCTCATGGCCGACTTTGAGACGAACAACTTTTTTCTCGCGCCAGCCGTTCAGAAAAACAACGTGGTCATGCCGCAAACATTTTGTCCCAAGTCCACACCAGCTGAATACGTTCGCCCACGGCAGTCGCCGTGGGAGCGACAAGGCTTGGTTGGTGCTGTCCTCGGGGGTGTGATTGGTGGCATGGCCATGGTAGCCGCAATGTACTGTATGTGGATTACGTGGATGAGGAAAAAAGACCAGCGGAAGTTGAGGAGAGAGTTGAAGAGGAATCAGCTGCAAAAGATGGAGCAATTCGATGTTGAAGAAACGCCCGTCTTTGACCCACCGCCAAAGACTGTCAACGCGGCGAAAGCAATATTCTGGAGAAGAAACAAACCCGGGCTTTAGCATGGTTGTCGTTGCATTTTATGGCGTTCTTTTTCTTATACCCGGAGACGGCAACGTAACCACTCCAGTTCATGATGAATGTTAGGTATTCTCAGCGATGCAATGTTCATGAGTCTATGCACAGGCCGGCCCATATTTTTCAGCTTTCTCATAACTAACATGCATATATTGTGTTGACTTTCCGTAGAGCGAGAGGCCGGCTTAGGTAAGCTCTGTCCCTGACGTGTCAATTTCGCGTTCATCGGACCCTCCCTCCGGATGCAGTCACCAACACATCAGTCTCTCACGAAGAGTACGCAATGCTGTGCGACTCAAAATCGTGTTTCTCACTATTTCAAGAGCATCAGAATCGATTCGAGCAGTTTCACGGACCGAGAATCCAAATGCGCCCTGGATGACGCGACTCTACCGTAGAGTCTGCAACACCTGTAGGTAGCGCTCGCTGGATACAGAGTGCGATGATGCACAAACTTACAAATCGAGATGCGGTTTAGACTGACGCTGAGACATTGAGATCCACGGTGTTGTTAGAACCCAATATCTAGTGCTCGCGTCTCATGATGCTTTGAATGTGGGTGGTCGCTGACCTCCCTCGATTGCCCTGTCGCACTGACGCAGAAGGCGACTTTGTCTACTCAAGAGATGCAATGTGATTCTGGTGAGCCATTGCCATAGCAAGACTCATCACTATGAATTTGAAGACGATGATTAAGCTGTGGCTTTATTTGTAGGTCGGACAATAGCCCCACAGCCTCACTGTGATGACCTAGGAAGGAAGAGCTAGGAACAGCACGCATCGTCCTGATCACCTGCAGCTTTGTCACAATATTTCAGTCACATTGTCCAATGCAATGTATTTGAAGCGGCTGTGTTCCCTGTTTGTCCTGTCTTGCTACAAATGATTCGATGAATCACATTCCTTTCTCAAGCCCCCTTAGGTTTGTTGTTGTGTTCTTCATATTTTCTGCAACATTCCTCTCGGCTTGCCTTGACAACCCCAACTAATCGCTTCAATACACGAGAATGTATGTTTACACGCGATGTCCCCCTGCGTGTATGCTACTGTTGAAGATTTCGCCGCGAATATTGCCGCGCCGTTCATTACTTTGCGTGAGGAAAGAGCTGGAGAAGAGGAGGATATAATACAGCGACGACAATCTCGAGGTCATCGCGACTTGCATTGGATGAATAGAACTAATTCCTAGATAACGCTCTTTTGTCAGCTGCGGACCATCATACAGCAAACAAACGCCATCGCGAGTTCGCAATCCACCGTGGATGTACAACTTCCACAGACATGTTACCTTCAAGTAAGCGCGCTGCGGGCGCTGCGCCATTGAGCACCACCGCGATCGCTGCTATCATCACTGGCATCGGTGTTGTCATGCTGTGTCTACTCAGCGCCCTGGTTTTCCTGCTGGTACGCGCAGTCCGCGCCCATAAACGACTCATCGCGGATCTGGACGAACGAGGCGTCTCAATTGCACAGGCACAGAGAGAGGTGGCAGGAGACTTGGTCATGAGGCCACGCGCGGTACTAAGGCGGAATACTGTTCTACCGTTCAACAAGACATCGGGATGGGGAACGCTGCCTTCCACGGAAACCTTTCAGTCTTCAGATTCAGGGGGAGTTCCGGAACACTACGTACCGCCCATGCCCACCAATGCGATGAAACGGTCTAGTCATCTTTCCTGGCCCTTTTCTACACGTCGTATGAGTGGTCAGTCTATGCAAATGAAGAAAATGAAGGTCTCGAGACTGTCAACGGTCATGGAGAGCCCGAAGTCGTCGCCACTACTGCTGAACACGGCCCATATGAATGCCAGTGGGCAGTCAATTGCAATGTCGAGCGAGTACGCGAATTCCTCATGCCAGTCGTTACTACAACATCATCCCGCATTTCGCCATCAACATCAGGCTCTAGGCCCCCCAGGAGCAGCCACACGCGGTCCCATTGACGCCAAAAAACGGTTGCATAGGGCCCAGTCTGTTGTCGAGGTATCGACCAACCAAATGGCTAGACCATATCTGAAAGCGAGATCTGTCAGTCTTTGCAGTCAAACATCGGGGGTAGTGCCTGACGTGATTCTGCCACCACTACCACTGGAGGTGTCGCGTCTAAAGAACATGACCAAGGATTACAGTCAGCTACACCGTGCTCCTTCAAAGTTATCTGTTTCTAGCTTCGGATCTGCAGACAGTACCATCCTTGGCCCACGCAATAGCCCAGCTGCTCCTCCACCTGCCAAATTTCGAGGACAGAAGATCACGAAGCCAAATACCAAGGGCTCGGCATTTGCGGGCGGCAAAAACATTAGGGACACACTAGATCTGCGTACAAAGGTCTTGGGTGGGCGGTACCCAAATGAAGCGAACACGACGGCCAGAGCCCCTTCAGTAGAGAGGCAACGAGGGCAAGCGGATCACAGGAGCACACTTATGGAGGAATTGAACATCCAATTACCGGGTGCTGCAGGGCCTGGGAGACCTAAAAGCATCAACAATACGCGGCAAGGTTCCACCGACTCTCCTCAAACGCGAAATTCTTCCAACCCAAAGCGCAGGTCTAAGACGCTGGTCTCATCTGCTGGCTCGCCTGAGCGACAGGATCAGAATCAGAACCCTAACAGTTCGAGAATGGTAACTGGGATGAGATCGCCGAAGCGTCAGCATTCTCAGACCTCTTCTCGAAGCAGCGGCGGAAATCCCTTCCAATGGGACCCTACCCCAATCTTGCCAGCTTGTGCTAAGCCGTCGAACTTGAAGGGAAGCCCAAGTGCTCGTAAGGGACATGGGAGGAAGAATAGCGTACGCATCTCTCTCGTCCCTACCATCCACGGACCTCCTAGCAGGGTATTTAGTCAGGCGTGGCAGAACAGTCCCCAGGATGGTTCCACAGGAGGCGGCGCTGCAGATGGATCCGATGGTCTGGGACTTGATCCGGATGCCAAACGTGCTCTTCCAACCCCACCCACATCTTCCACATTCTCCCCAGATCTTAAGTTTACAGCAACATCAATCAAGGCGACCTTGACGACTACCTCCCCAACATTGCCGCTTGTGGGATATGATCAATCGTTCGTTGTTTTTCCAGCGGACCAAATTCTGCCTCCACTATCAGAAACTGAGCAAAAGCGGTTGAGCAATGGCTCCATCTTTAGCCTTTCACGGTTCCCAACTACACCTTCTATCATCGAGCCGGTTGATTATGATGCGTCATTCCGATATAGCTCGATAATCTATAACAACCATGATTTTAGTGGCAACTGGATGCCAGATACACCGCTTCTACAGCAGTATCCGTTTGGCGTTCAGACGCCTGAACGCAATCGATCTCCGTCGTCGCCTAACAGCATAATCAATATCGATGAGTACGACCCTGAGCAACCAAACTGCATATACCAAACACCGCCTAATCTTAATGCCAATTCTCGTACATATCAATCAGCTTTTGCTCCCATCCCCGAAGAGTCGTCGATATGCTCCAACAAGACTGGAGGTGTTGAGCCACCACGAAACGAGGATTCACCCCCGGTCTCTCCCAAGACTATGTCACCGCCGAGATTCAACTTTCAGAATCGGTCGGCGTATGATGTACCGGTACATGCTACGTGTATTCCCGAAGAGCATTCGGAGACGATCGATCCTTCGATTATAACCAAGGATGCGTTCGGCGAGTACTCCGCCATGGACGACAGCATTTTTGGAACTCATGCAGTCAACAAGCGCATTAGCATTGCGATACCGGCAACGTCTCAATCAGCGCAGTCATTGCTTGAACCCCTTATCGAAGCTGCTTTCCCAAGCAATGAGTCGCCAACCATCGGGCATGACTGCTCTGAACTATCACTGTCTTGCTACTCATCCCGTTCGCCTTCGCCATCACCCGGAGTTTCACCAATAGAGCTTCCCAGCCCCGTCTATCCCTGTTCACCCCGTCCAGCACACGCAGAACTTCCCAAAAGCCAACCACAGGGTCTATCTATAAACTTCGCCGACGTACCCAAACTATACCCTTCACCCCGCGGACCGCGCCACTCTCCACCACGTCCCCTACGCACCTCAATTGTCCAGCTACGACGCATGAATTCTGATGCCCTCGAAGCAAAAGACACCAAAGCTGGAAGAGGCGAACGTCGCTATCTCCGCCTCGGCCGTGAGGACAGCGTGCACATCCCCGGTGATGAATCCTGGCTCGACGAACTAGACGACTCATCGGCCGTTGAGCTCGATGAAGCGGAAGGCCGCCGTCTCGTCGGCGATTTACTAGAGGAAGAGGACAATGAACAGGAATGGGATGAAGGCTGTACCGTCCTCGATCTTGACGCAACGACAATGACGACAATGGGAGAAGACCACACACTCGACTCTGTCACCACCATCAAGCCAGACCTCTCCGCCACCGCAAACACAACCTCTGGCGCCTCACCATCCTCCCCCTCTGCCCATTCAAGCAGCATATGGGAAGACGGAGAAGCCTTCTGGGCATCATCCACCCCCCCTCCTCCCTCCCAATCCAAGTCCCAGTCCCAGTCCCACCCACAAACCTACCACCCCAAAACATCCTCTCCCCTTCTCCCTACCCCCCCAAAACCCGCTCCAAACCCCAACCCCAAATCCCCGCGCCACAACCGCAAACGCCACTTCGAAGTCGCAAAAGACGACATCCCTAACCAACGCGGCCTCATCCACCACGACCTCAACGCCCCGGACTCCTCAACCGACAACGAAGGAAACCCAAGTCCCCACTCCACACGCAAGAAGAAACGCAACACTGCACGACGCAACGGCATCGTCGGCGGAACCGGAACCACACAGCAAGCCGCCACCGCCGCCACCGCCAGACAAGGAGCAAGACCAACCCCAAACCCAACCTCACCAGGAGCAGCACCACTAGGAGCAAGAGCGCCAGCCCACGGAGCCGGCAGATACAGAAAACGCACCGTCCTCGGCATCGGAACTGCAAATGCAAATAGCACTCCCAGCACTCCCAACAGCAGTGCACCATCGAGTCCCACACGCGCCCCTGATACACCTACTCGCACACCCACGTCCCCTACGCGCAGCTCTGCGCGCGGCAATGCTCATGCGGCGGGTGTGCGGATTCAGATTACGAGTCCGGGGGGACATGTTATGCTCGCTGGGGGGAATGGGGTGGGGACGCCGGGGAGCTTGTACGATAGTGATGGGTTTTTGAGATTTTAGGGTGTGTGTGTGTGAGAGACGAGGTGGTTATGGCTGTGGGTGTGGGTGGATCTTCGTGAATTGGTGTGGGTGGTGGTGGTGGTGGTGGGGTGGGATGGAGAAGAGAGAGGTCTTGGGGTTTGCGGTTGGTGTATGTAGTGTACGGTGTAGAGGATTGCATAGTAGAGTATAGAATAGCATAGCATAGCATATGGTGGATATTATTAGTGTGTAATGAGTAATAAGCACGATGTAAAACACAATAATGTATCAATCACCGTGAGTGTAATTCCAACTTTATTTAGTGTTTAAAATTTCCCTTCACATAGTGGTATATCTCATCTCCAACCCACCCCGACTCAATCTACCTATACAATTATCCTCCTCAAAACCACCCTACCTACTCTTATCCTTCTTCCCCTCCACTCTCCCTTTCTTCCTCGCAGCATCTGCCCTGCCATCTTTCCCCCCCTCGGGCAATATCTCATGGACCTTCATATCCAGACCGACCCAAAACTTCCTACCTCTCCACTCGACCGTAACACCGCCCCAAAACGCAATGACCCAGACAGGAAGCGCAGCCACCTCTCTGCACAGCCAGGCGAAGAAGAATTCCAAGAAGCTTCTCCTGGCGCCGTCGAGTAGGCTGGGATCCTTTGGCGTCTTGTCGCCCAGCGGGGGCTGCGAAACTTCAGTGCGGTGGTACGTGGAGGATGAGCGCTGGGGTAGGATGAAATCCGGGGTGTCTGCGTCTAGCTCGACCGTCTTTGCAGAGTGCAGGAGGAGGTATAAGATGTAATCGACCAGACACCACATGGCCATATGGACTAACCAGATGGCAATGAAGGAAGTCCACGTCGGACTGATGCCTAGACTTGCAAAGTAAGGCAGGGTAGTCATGGCGTACGCGCCGTACAATCCACAGAGGATACTTTCCGTGCCCGGTTCGACGAATGTGGCCAATGTGACTGTAAACTTGCGCACACGCAGCCATCGGATGCGGCGGTCAAGATAGGCCATGACAGGTGTGTGGCTAATGGGTTGAAAGCAAAAGTCGCCAAAGAGCATGGCGTGCTTTCCCCAATTTTCCTTCTTTTCACCCTTTGCGGGCTTGTAACTGGGTTCCTCAAATGCTTGGGGCTGTTTCCATAGTGCATCGCCGATCAGGTGATCTTCGCAGATATTGTCGGAGAAAAAATCGATGCCCGGTGCGCGTTCCGGGTTCGAAGAAGTGATGTAGTTGAGCTGCGATCGCCTGAACATGTTGCTTTTTCCAATGATGCAGGGTGCTACAGCGACTGTGTTGATGGCTAAGTAGAATTTGGCATGTGCGGATGACAAGAAAGCTTCATCCAGACGGCCTCCACCCCGCTGTAGGAGTTTCTGGATGGTGCTGCTGGAATTCTGGCGTGCCTCTGCGTGTGCACTGGGAGCCTTGGCCGCAGATGCACCGCTTTCTTCTGGTCGACCTCCTAGCAGCTCTGTGCGGTCTTCGAGTGAGAGATCCTGTGAGTCCAAGTCTATGGCAACAGGTGTTTGGTGCACAAACTTATATTTTGTCGTGCCCTTCCCGTTTTTGTCTTCGCTGAAGCCACAGAGCAAGTCCACCAGCCTACCACAAACACCCTTGCCGACCCAGACATTGCAATCCAATATCCACACAATATCGCCTACTGCCTCTCGATACGCGCGACTCATATTCCGAATTTTGGGGTTGGGCCCCAGCGCATTGTGGTCCTTGAGCAGCAGTGGATCCTCCTCTTCAACCAATATCTCAACATTGGCGCCAGGGAAATCTTTGCACAGTCGCTCGAGAATAGGAAACGCAGGATCAGACCGTGCGGGTACACAGAAGACAGTGTTGATCTTGCCTCTGGGATAGGTCTGGCGGAGACTGGCGGAGAGGCACTCATACAGGCGGGGATCGAGACCCTTGACAGGGCGTATGACGGTGACGTGAGGAACTTGCTCTGCAGCCAGCTGGGTAATGCATATTGCCGGCTGTGGCCTTCTCCAGTAGTAGCGGAATCTGGAGCGACTCAATCAGCTGACTAGACTGCGATAGGGACAGAGCTGGCGGACTTACAGTTGTGTGAAGCCAATGGCGCAGACACACCAGACTACGACAAACCACACGAAGCAGCCAGTAGCAATAATGGTACGCAGCATGGAGACATTATCAGTCCCAGCTGCGGAGGTGGACGCACCAAGCATGCGCCGAAGTTGCTGGACTGTAAAGGGAGTGAATGTGTGAAGTGATGCTCGACGAATCTGACGAGTCGGAGGTTGCGGAGTTCGGCAACCTTGGAAGATGGGAAAGCACGTCTGCCAAGGCACAACACCACTGGAGTCCGCAGCGCAATGTTGAACACTTGACACGAAACTCTAAAAGCCCAGGAGAGAGCTTAGGTACGGTGTTTATTGTAGGCCGTGTGATTGCGAGATTAGACTGCCACTGTCACTAGCTCGTGCCTCTGATACGACCGAAGTCAGCGCCTTGAACATGTTTTGCTGACATCAATTCGCCGAATCAATCATGTTGAGCTTCATTCGTGCTTAACATACTACCGGTACATGTTTAAATGAGGTATAGGTGCTCGTATAACGCGCAATAGGCGCCCTCGTCAATTGCATGAGGGGACCAAGTCTTCCATTCACATCATATCTAGAAACACTTGATTCCATACACTCAACCATCTCCAGCCACCCGTCCCGCACACATCTTGAAGCCCTCAGTGATGCACCGCACATCCCTTGAATATCTCCCGTACACACTCTCAACACGCGCACCAAACATATTCACTCCGCTGTCCACGCTCCCCAGTGTATCGCAGCATGCAAAGCCTCCCTTGGCAGCCTGTTCGCTGTGCAATCTTACATGCAAATAGTTCTTCACGCCGTTCTCGTGCATATTAACGCGGATGAGGCTACCGACGTTGCAAAACCGAATGTTGTTCTCCCAATAGCAATTTTGCCCCTCATTTTGGACGGTAGCCTGTAGTGTACGCGCGATGATTGCAATGAGGATGTTGCGGGTCAGAGCGTCTTTGTACGATGCGCCTTCGACAGTCAAACTGGCCAAAGCTGTTGTGATGTTAGTGATCTGTGACGTTAGGGGACTTCACTTTGGGTTCGCTCACTGGACTTTACTTGGTTGCGACCCGCTAGGTAAGCGGTTCCAAAAGAGGCATATTGCACTCCTTTCGAAGCACTGCATTGGCCATTGTCATTGTCGTTGCAGATTGAGCGAAGAGCTGATTCAACCGTGTGGTAAAGCGCTGACCCCCAAACATCTCCCACATTCACTGGCTCTTCCCCAATCCAGACTTCCACGATTGCAGTGCCTTGATATGTAGCAGATGGATCGTAGGAATTCGTCAGTCGTGTATTGTCGAAGGCGGCCGCAAGCTTGTCAGAGGGAAGACCTGAACTAACATTGAATATCGATGTAGCGTAGAGGTATGGCGTCAAATGAAGGATGAACCGGATGAGGCCATTCATATTGGCGGTTGTATTCGTAAAGGCTGGTTGTTGCAATTGTTGCGCGTTCAGGTACCGGCCGCGTGACGAAGTGAGAGTGACCGGTGATTGAGATCGTCGATAGCAATGACGAGCCGAAAGCAGCAATCGGACTGTTGACGAATGTCCAGAACTTGTTTGTTTCTGTAAATTGTATAAAACTCTATCGAAGCACAATGCCCTTGTGTGTCCACGCGATGAATCCTCGGGATTCTGCTTCTTCGCCTGGTGACACACGTCATTCAGGAGCGACAGCAGCACAGACAGACTGAGCGGTACAAGTGATACTTGACCTCTGTGCGACAAGTGGGACGTGTTCAAGTGGCTGCCATGATCAACAAGACACAAGATAGCCTTGAGTTCATACCAAACGCTGCCCTTCATACCCCCCGATAGGAGCCCCGCAACCACAACACCTCCAACGCTCTGATTACCTACTCGAAATCACAACCAATCATGACAGCATAGACCAGTACCGTTTGCAGTTCCTCACCTTCGATTTTTCTTGCATTTCGTCTAATTCGCTTTCACATTTAACCTCACCATCAAAAGGAGAGCGTTTGGCTGTACAGTGAAAGCCACTGAGGCATCCTCGGAAGATAAGGCATATGACATGGTAAACGAAGGTATAGAAAATATGGTTAAAATCGCTGATGCAGTGCTAGTGTGGAAGAATCAGAGAACGATTAAGACACTGAGGCAGTGTCGCTAGGACAGCGTAAGAGGGTTGAAGGGCGCAAGAGCAAAGGAGATAATTAAATAGAGACTAGAACTTGGCTTTGTGCTGGTCTTGGTATTGTGAATTGCCGCTCTCTATAGTATGATACAGGTTTGGCAGTAAGAGATAGCCAGATGCGATGGACATCAAGGTCATGTCTCGGTGGAGAAGGAGAAGCCCAATGGGGCCAAAATCTTCTCCTGGACGATCTTGTTGGCGACTTGACCACCACGCTCGAGAGCAATGGCACCAACGATGGCATACAAGGATGTTATAAGGACTGCTTCCATACCTGAATCTTGAAGTTTATCCGCCTAGTGCTGTTAGCTGTGACGCCGGTTTACATGTGATGGCATGACTTGCCCTCTTGGGTTTCCAGCGCGTGACCTTGTCCAGGCCATATCGTTCTGCTAATTGCGATAAGCGCTTCTGGCTCAACACGACACTCTCAGCTTCATCCGTTAGGCCTTGCAGTCCGTTGAGCGCGGGATGGAGGTATGGTTTCCGACCGAATTCGTCTGGCATGGGGATGTCATTGCTGTCCCTTGGCCATTGAGTTTCTTGTGGTGATTTGATGAGAGCCTGGGCTGTTTGCAGCTCTACTATCCTCCGTCCTGTGGCACACGGTTAGCCATGGTCCCAGGTGTTTGCCATGCCCACAACCAGCGTACCAAGATATGCCAACCGGTCATTGAACCCCCGCCTTCCATGGTCGAAGCTCTTGTGTGTGACGGCCAGCCACTTGACCTCGTCATCCAGCACCTTGTCGCCCCCCGGTCCCAGCATGCGTGTATAGGCATCGTCGAGTCTCCTTGGGTCCTCATTGACTTGGAACACGCCCCCTCTGGCCTGTGGCCGTATTCGGAAGGGAGCAGTCATGCGAGCTGGTGTGTATTGCCATCTTGGACGGTTTTCGGCTTGTGTGTCGTATTCAGGTGCACTTGAGCAGGTGGAGGTGGACGAGAAGGGACATGTGGAGGCCGAAGTCCGCACCACGGCCGCCGTTCTCGTTGACGATTGAGCGGGGCGGAGAAGAGGTGACGATGCAGTCGAGAGCAACACACGAATTGGCCGTTTTGAGGCCATTGGGTAGTGCTGTAAATGGAGAGGCGAGGCTACCTAGATGGGGGCGATTATGGTGACGGACGGGTGAAGGTGTTAGGGGTGACGGCGAAGGCGAAGGTGAAGGTCTCGTGTGCGCAATTCATCTGCCAGTAGTCAAAGTTCCCATGGTCTCGAAAAGTTGCGGCGAAGAACTGGCGCTTGTCCTGAAGCGTACTAGTCTTCTCCAGACGCGCTCCACGCATCTCGAGGGATTGAGGGACTAACAACTACGCGTATGTCTGTCCGTCTCTTGTTTGTCCAACCTTTTCTGTTTTTGTTGTTGTTGTTGCTGTTGGAGGGCCATAATTAATGGCGAATAGCGGTAGCCCAGAGTCGCTCAGGGAGCTTCTGGCTGAGCAGTTGCCCAAAGACGTCCCATTCCGCTTCTACCACTATTCCACTCCTCCCTCCACCTCCTCCGCCCTCTTCTCGGCGCCACCCCATGGCAAGTCCGAGCGCACATATCGCGAATCGCATTTCCTCGCGGCTTCGATAACACCAAAAGATGGAAATGGCTCCGGCTCCGACTCAAAGACAGCCGAAGAACTTCTCATCCTCGCAATTGAGGTCTTGGTCTATACTACCCGCAACCTCACTACCATTTTCGTCTCCAAAGCCGACTCCACGGGCGCCTTGTCGGAATTACAGCTGCCGCGATCGCAATCTGGTTCCCCTCTAAAAGTCATTTGCGGGACGTTCGTGTCATGGCTAGCAAGAGAACGGCAAAGAGAGGGCAAGAAGCTAGTCATTTCGCTGTTTGCTCGCGCCCAAGATCAGTATCTGTTCCCTGCAAGCATCAAGAACAAGAGCAAGCATGTGCTGGATGACAGGGGCCTTGTGAAATGGTGGTGTAGGGTCCTGGACCCCATAGTCTGGCAATACAAGGCTGAAGGGGAGCAAAAACCATTTACGGACCGCCTTGCTGCGGGAGGTGGCCCTGAGGCACAAAGACGATCGCACGAGAATGAATGTACAGCAAAGGGCTACCTCGTCGTCCCAGGCTTTGAACTGTATGATACACTCCGCTACACACCTGCACCACCTGCAAATACACCTCGTAGATGGGCTGCCGCACATCCACTCCTACAGATCGCCCCTCATCCTGCCGCTCCGCCTCGATGTCTCATCCCCCACTTTCCAGACGATCCCAAGACACGTTTCTTAGATGAGCTGGATGAAGAGCTGCCAGATCGAGGCACGGATGCGATGCTCGTTGAAGGCGGCACACCATCACGAAGCAATGGGCAATGGAAGAGCGTCAAGACACTAGACCAATTTTGGGAGTTCATGGCATTTCGCCAAGAGTGCTCGTCAGGACGGATTGTAGGCTTCATTTGGGTCGTCATCAATCCGGCGAAGCCATCGATACCAGAAGAGGATGAAGAAGAGCCATCACAGCAATCCCTCTCTCACTCGTTCTCAAACATCGAATCGCAGGATGGTATCCCCAGTCCGAGGAAACGGAAGCCAAGGAGAATAAGAAGAGATGACAAAATCAAGTACGGTCCCATACCTCTCGTCCTTCCAAAGATCAAGACAAGTTCCTTAAATACCTCGACTGCGTTTCTCTCCTCTACTGCATCGGGTGGCAGATCACCCCCGTCCATGAGCCCCTACTACAAATGGCCCGCTTCCTCACGAGGCACCATTTGCTTCAGCCCGAAAACTTACGATCGCGCGCACGAAGTCTTGCTGCAGCAAAGCTTCGCCAACCGTACCGCCGTCGGACGCAGTACAAAAAAGTGGAAAGAGGAAATCGCAGTGCTAGGAGGCATTGAGGACTGGAGTTGGACGGTCATTGGCGAGAAGGAAACCACGGGATCTTCAAGTGCAAGTGAAATTGGTGTCACACCCACCATGGTCATGGGTGTAAAGAACAAGAGAAAGCCTCAGTCCTCTGTCGATTTGGGTTCAGTGTCTGCTCAGCCTTCGAAAGCCAATAGCCTCGGAGAAGGCCTAGTGAGAAAGAAGGCGAAAATCGAACCTGTTAATGTCGGCGAGACGAACACCATCAACACACTTTCCACAGGCCTCGTGCGGAAGAAGCCCAAGACTTGAACTCACTTGGCATCACATCTATTGCATTGCTGTTCAAACTACGAATGAAGATGCTGGAAGTCTATCAGGAGGTGTGCCTTGGTTCTTTTGCCTAGCTGACTCCCCTTCTGCGTTGACTCTGCTAACCCCCTCTCCGCAATGTTGGTGCTAGTGGGCTCCAGTCTCTCCCTAGAAATCCAGATCTATCTGATACAATATCAAGAGAGGTGGTCTGAGTTGAAAATTGATATGGGCACACCTTCGTCGAAATTGAGCCGCTCTCGTCATCTAGCGTAGCATAGCCTTCGACAAAGTCGTCCGATCAGCACCACCCAACTGTTATCCCAATTACGCGGAAAGAATCTATTTTAAGCGTATTGGGGTCTCAGCCTTGCCAATCCAATCTTCCGCGGAGCCTGTTAAATAGCTGCCCAGAGCCGCTAGAAAGCAAGGATATCCTAAAGCTCCTATTGCTGACTGTGACAGGCCGTTATTATAGTATGTGAGCGATCCTACACAGGTTTGATCTCGATCTGGCCAAATGCTGGCTTGATTATACACATCTACTGGTTGCGCGAGGCTGAAACAGCCACTTCAAGGTTGTTCGCATTGCGCAAATTGTGGAACGCCTTGCTCGTTGGGCTCTTCGGGGTTATTGAGCGCGCTGCAGACTTGGAATCCTTCTTGGCCCTCTAGCACACAGCTTTGATTCGCGTGGACCCCTCTCTAACTGCCAAGCTGCAGCTGATTGCTTTCATACTGGCACCGCTGACACTGCCTATCTCTCATGCTGCATCCTGCCGCTACTGTTATCGCTATTGTCAATGATTAGATCCGTCAGTATACCGCCACGTCTCTACTGGGGGCGAAATTCCATGATTCCCCGGGTAATTCCCCGGGGCCTGGGGCCCGGGGTTGAAGGAGCTCCCAGTGAAAGCTGCTGTACTGCATCTGTTTGACAAGGTTACAGCCCGTCAGCATGCTATGCGTCCTCCCGACTAGCGTATGCTATCACTGCATATGCATTATACCTATCAGTCCATCAAGTTCTTCCTTCTTTCTACCTCATAATTAAGACAAGTTTGCACATTGGGAAATCGCCGTTATATTTTGACCAGGGAATCGGTGGATGTTGGAACGTGAAATCCCTTGATGATCAGCCTTTCTTATCTTCATCACCTCCAAGGACAAAAGACACAATTGTAGGCTTCACCAAGTTCCCAGCATATCTGAGTAGTCATGTCGGAAGTAGACGGTCAATTTGTAAAGCGGGGGTTGTGGACAAACCTTGATCAAGGAAACATCATGGGCAAGACAATCACCACTGATAGCACCACTGGAATGATTATAATCGCAATGTTGGCTGTGATGTCGACTGTCGGTATTTTATTTGCTTCCCTGCGCTAAACTATTCTCTAATGTCAGCAGGGACTTCGCATTTATGGAGCCTCTTATTGTTCGGCCACCACCAACTCAGGGCAAACGGCCAACCCTCTGACGGTCTTTTCTACCAGCAGCAAGCCATATTGCGGACACTACCTCCCCCAAGCTCATTGATGGCCGAGTCTACCAAGCTATGGTGGTTTTGGCGGCGAAAAAATGACAGAGTTCTATCACGGTCCATCTCCCAATTCTTGCTGGCCACTTCTTGCACGGTAGGATTCATCGCGGCTAGTATCTCAACTTCTTTTGTGATGAATACCTCTGACTTGGAGGTACTTGTTCGAAGTCCATCATGCGGTCATCTCAACGACACAATGACGCTCGAGGCAAGGCGGGACAGCACAACCGCCCTATCATCGGTCTCCACACCATATGCTGAAGAGTGTTATCGTCGTCAATCTACACCTTCAGCAAGGTGTAAGGCTTATGTTCATCCAAGGATATCGTTTAAGACTGAAAGAGTCCATTGCCCCTTCAATGAGACAATGTGCGTTGAAAACAATGACAAAGATTTGCCCGCGGTTGCGCTTGATTCCGGCCTCCTGGACGTTGGCACTACCTATGGATTGAATCTCCCCAAATCTGATCACGTCAGCTACCGCAAGAGAACGACGTGCTCAGTACTGCCGCTAGCTGGCCACACGGAACTCGTAGACACTGATGATGTTCCTACGAACTTTTTAGGTCGGGATGCTTACCCTGGTGAACAAGCCATGCTTCTTTATTATGGGGAGCGGTACAGTTCGGTCGAGTCTGTGAACTACACAAGGGGTGTTAGTCTACTAAGTACAAATCTTTCTTCGGGCTTTAATGTAGTGTAGGTTCACTCCGTTTGATCGGCACAAGCCTGGTACAAGTGTGCTAATTTTGCAGTGCTAATGTTTTTCGTCTCGACTGGGAGCGGCAGGGAAACCATCAATCAATCGTGCCACTGGAAAGCATGCACCGAGACGATGCAGACTTGCTGCTTGTGTTCCTGATCGCATCAGTTAAATATGTAAGGCCCGTAGATGACCCATGGTTCTCTGCGCACAAACAGGTCATCGTGTATGACCCGACAAGAGCAGCAGATGCAACAGTATATCATCCAGATAGTCCAGTTAGAGTGCTGGGCTGCGCCGTTCAGGTATTTCATCATCCATACGGGACCAAGCAGAGCGCCAGCTGACAGATAAGCATCAATTCTGTTTTGCAACAGCTTCAGGCCTTACATGCTCCAAGCTAGACGCACTGCCCATCAGCCGTAAGTTGCCGGAATGGGAAGAGGCAAGCCTGTTGCAACAGTCTGTCCTAGACTTGTTGACGAGGACCAGTGCAGCGACGGATATGCATGATGTCACTCAACTTCGGGCTTCACAGAAAATCAGATATGGTGGGAATATGTTTGTAGATGTTCCGTCGGACCAGTGGGTTGATGAAGTCGAGGGAATGGAGTCTTATGTGTGGGCCGCCTCGCAAGTTTCAGTAGCTGACTACGCCATCGGCCATGGAATCCGTAACCCGGATATGGCTGAATGGGTAGTTGCGCCTACCACTCCTGGAGACAAGAAGTTGTGCGGCTGCCTAAAGATGCGTAAGCAAGGTGGATTCGTGTATGTACAATCCCGAAGAAGTGTTGAAGTCATCCAAGCTGATCCAGTACAAGCAACATCAACGTCTTCGGCATGGTTTTCGTAATCACTGTTTCTGCAATCTTCGCTATACTGGACATCACACTCCTCAAAGTACTCGTCTTTCTGGACAGCTTCAGAACCATGTTTAGCCCTCGGATCGATCGTTGGATCCAGGACGGTGTTCTGCAACTGCAGCGTCGAGCCTACGAAGCTGAGGGACAGGGCACATGGTCAAACCTCAAGCGCGATATTCCATTGACCAGGGAAAAAGAAATTCTGACAGAATTACCTTTGCAGTCTGGCACAAAGGCACGTATTTACACAAGTGCTTCATCAATGACTGTAACTTCAGTCGAGTATCCGCTCCTGTGCAACGGCCGATCTCAAGGTATTACACTCTCGTCCATGCGAACAACTACCGTCCCGAATTCTTCCAGTCCATCCCAGCCTGCTCAGTCTCGAGCGTCCCCATCCCCCATCCATATGGATCCCAATAAAGCAAAATCTGTCTTGTGACAATTCTCCCTAGGGCGCATTTCCATATACTATCGAGCCTCAGGATCAGCGACTCCGATGTTGACTTCTCCTGCTCCACAATCATTATCAACAATGATGCAGCAACACCCATTGCCACAGCTCGCAGCTATTACTGGAGATTGTGCATAAAGCTAGTACATATTTTGCTGCACCCTTAAGTAGGCAATAGAAGTTCATGTAATAGTTGAGAATCATATCGTCTTATTAAATGCATGGCTTACTCACAAGTTCTTCTCAACCATCGTTTCATTGCACTCACTTCGTTCTCCCCCATTATTCGCCCACAGCATAATGGTTCGGAGCGCGACTCGAGAGGAAACCTCATCAAGGGTGCAAGATTAGTAAAACGTGTGCTATGTTTGTACGTGTTGGAGGAGGGATGAGGAAGCAGAGGAAGTTACATCTCTGCATATTTATCATTGCAGTCGGCCGATACTATCAATACAGCCATTAAGTAACTCGGTCAGTCCGATATAATAGCCTTGGAACATTCGCAGGACATTCAGTGGTATAGAGCACTACAGCATGCTTTGTGGTCTTCAAAAATTGGTTACATGTAGGATGAACTTGATAGTCTAGCACTGCCAAAAAAGCAACGTCCGAAATTGACTATGGTTATTCTAGATGATTCAAATGTCTTCAAACAAGCTAGATTCCCCATGGCTTAACATTCTTATCAGTCAATGTCGTATTAATGCTTGTAGGTCGGTTGCCATAGAATGTTAAGCAGATTTAGGAACATTGTAATTGTATATCACGTTTGAGGAGCATTAGATTCCTGCAAATGGAGCTGATGATAGACTTTCTTGCCGTGAATATATATATATATCACAGTGCTGCTTTGATTAGATATGGATAATACATACTGCAGATAAAGTGTTTCTACATGTTGGTTGACTATCACAGTTATTCGAGTTTGTACTTTTTATAGAGGATGCATATTACACGTTTTGCCGGAAAGCTGATGCATTATTACCAGTATTCTTCATGTGATGAAGCGACATTGTTAATTGGCATATTTGTATAATGACGCTGCGCTGCCATAAGCATGCAGTATACTAATCTTCTTTGTATAACCTTGAAAGGATTAGAGGCGTAGAGACGATTGCTACTGCTCGTTTCAACGTAATGATTCTGCTTCGTCAATTTCCACCTGCTTTGCTGTTTTAAAGAGGAATGAGCAATGAGTGAATAAGAGCTATCCGCTGATACATATGCGCTACCAATAGCCTGGGAATGGTGCATAAATTTAAATGAAAACAGGTTATGTATTTCTGCATCTCAAAAAAAAACATCTAGTGACACCACAAGCAATGACATCTAAGAACAAGTTTAGGTCTACCATAAGGGAGCCATGCTGGCAAGCATAACGCCTGCCTCCAACTCATCTGGATATTGAGTGAAAGCCTGTTCAATGACGTCTGCGATCCACCGGACATGGACTCGCACTCCGAAATGCCCCTTCGTGTATTCCCAGTACTCAGGATACCAACCTGCACATTCCCAATCGACGATACCCGATAATCTCATGTTCTCATCCACGAGAATATTCCTCATATTGAGATCAACATGCGTGAAAACAATATCATGTTTGACACCATAAGATTTCATTATCGTGTCCCATGCCTCTGTGGTAAAAGGCAGGTCATATGTCAGCTTTGAATTGAATTCAGTCTCATCCCGGAATCGCAGCTCTTCGCGTTGTGAATCGCCAATTCGCCAATCCAATATGCCACCGCCCAACGCATTACATATCTGATACTCCGATTTGACTGTTCTGGGAATTTGTCGGAGTTCAGCAATATATTCTTTGAGGTCTTGTGCGACTGCTCTTACTTGCTGATCCGTCGCCAATACCGATAATTGGGAGCAACTCAAGACCACTTTAGCGAACATCCCAGCAAGTGGCCAGCCATCAGCCAATTCACATGAAGCTTTCACGTGCAGAGTGTGGGTTAATAAGGACGCTATACTGGCGCTTCATAATGCTGGAATAATTTGACTCACCCGGCCCATCGAGACTATTGAACAGGATGCAATCGATACTGCGGAAAGGCATCGAGAGGTGGTTGAAGGCGGCACTGGCCCTGCCCTCGTATTGAGCGAGGCCGAACTCGCGGCTAGATTTCCAAGAGGCATGGGCAACATGTGACTAAGAGACTATAGAGTCTCATTATACTTTCGATTCAATCAATGACCGTGCTATGGATTGTCATTCTATCCAATCATTTGCTCTGTCTTTTGGTCGTACCTGCGAAACTGTGATGCGTGCGATCTGGCTTGGAATTTAAAGGTTCTTGAAGCACTGACCCTACCTTCAAACGCTGTACCTTATGTCTTTAGTGACACCTCTTGATATTGCTACTACTATCTTTTAGCCTTCTTACGCGGTACAACGTTTGTTACCCCTCAGTGCCTCTACTATCTTGTCTTACTGTCAGGGGCAGCCTTAGTTAGTCCTTGATATCCACTTCGACATGGCGATAAATTGATGCTACGCTCGATACGCATCTGGATACCCACCTCGATGCCATGTGCGTATTGCGATGTATCGGCACCCACCTTAATACCCACCAAAAAATTCCCTACTCAAAACTTCAAGTAACAGGAGAAGTTACCGTTATGATGGTGAAGTAGCCGGGAATTATCGATCATTATTGTGTAGCCCTGCTTCTGTTTCGTCCACTACTGCACTTTCACTCCCAGACAACTTCATCTTTACGTCGCCAGTTTCCCTTGAATCTTTGATAGGTAGTTTAGATACGAAATATGCAATTGCATGAAAGCTAGTAATGGTTCAAAGCCCGTCATTTTTGCCTTCCCACTCCAACCGCTCAGCAAGCTGTTCCCACATCGGCTCTGCGCCAACTCTCCCCACACTTCTGAGTCCCGCTGTGATAAAGGGAAGCAGTCTCGCAAAGTCCCCATCAATCTTCTCCAGCATCTCCACTGGACTGAGTTTTTCGCGTGATTTTTCCTTTCTCGGTGTGCCTAGTTCGTCCCCGTCTTTACCAGCATCCGAATCCGAGTCATCTTCTACGAGGCGAATAGGAATCGCACTCTTCCGCCGTTCAAGCTTTCGGGGTTTGCCTTTCGTCTTGGCATCAGTCTTGTCTGTCGTAATATCTTCCTTAACAGCTGATGCAAAAAGCATGCCTAGTTCCAACGTGTCCATCACTGCTTTATGTATAGCCTTCACTGCCTTTGACAGCAACGCACGCTCCTGCAATCTAGCAACGAAGATGATATGGATCTGTGACATCTCGTCGATGTCTTCTGATTTGTCCATGGCGGTATTCATGTCGCGTCTGGTGAAGAAGATGACGGTTTCAGCGAGGTAAGAGCGAAGGATGTCCGTGAACCAAATCAAGCGGTGATGCATTTTGCATGCAAGGGGCGACCGGGTACGGTTGAGCATTTGTAGGCGAGTGGGACGCGCGCGGCGAAGCACGTACTGAACACGATATATTTGAAGTATAAAGGTGAAGAGTTGTTGGTAGATGGGAATAGAAGACCGCTGTATAATATTTTGTATCGACCATGGCAGCTGAAGGTATTATTAGCATTGACGCACAGTGGTAGGGAAGGACGGCGTACAGCAAAATCAATAGAGATCGCGGCCAGTGCTTTGACAGAGCAGCTTCGCTCTTTGATCTTTGATGATCTCACGACAACTCTTTCGACATCCGTAGTAGGCATGACGGTGCTAAATGTTCCTCTTGCCAACCCAGTCAATACATAGCGATCGTTCCATCCCCGTCGTCCCGCGTCCATGCGCCCAAACACTGCATTGGCGAAGTCTTCGAAAATTGATCCGTCCCTACCGAAGTACAAAAACTCGAAGTTGACCATTGTGCGCATAAGAGCGCCGGCTTCGAAAATATGTTGGCGCAAGATGTTGGATGCGACAGAATATTTACTGCGGATCCATTTCTCAAATGCAGCCTGAAAGAGTTCGGGAAAGGGTGAAAGTGGTACATCGGTCGAGGTACCACACACAGTACGATGATCTAAGAGTGGTTCGTTATTAAAGTTTTGCGCATGTGTTTCCTGTATGCCAAGCTTCTGAAGGAAGACGACACTCTTGCCGGTGTTGAAGATTTTTTTAGCAGCCGGCTGGAGGAAGGTGGGCGATCGAAGTTTGTCTTGTCCGTCGTGGCGAAGCATGTATCGGTCATGCCAGAGGGAGGCGGGATCGCTGTTGTTGTCGTTTGCGAATACAAAGAACGTTTCGTCATCGACACCGAGTTCGCCATCCTCCATCCATCGCCTAATTGGCTTTAGATATGTCTGCAAGCATTCGAAGAAAATTTCAGACATGTAGTTGAATACATCTCTTTCAAGCATCACTTGAGCCAATGTGGTATAGTCGAACAACGCTTCGAGATGACTAAACGGGTTGACTAACAGGCGCGGTTCGACGTCTGATACGATCTGTGCAAGACAGAGGATTGGTGTTGACATCGATCGGATCTCGTCATGTAATTCTAGTAAGCTGACTGAGATGGGCTTGTCGGGTAACAGATAGCGTTGCTGGAGTTGTGAAAGTGCCTTTTCGTAGATCAAGAGTCGCTTGCGAACAGCCGATTCGAAGGTCTGATTCAATGGCGTCACCGACGGCTTCTCTGTCCACTTTCGCATTCCAAGGATTTTTTTGCCAATTTCAGTGAACTGAGACAAAAGGTGTTCTGTGGTAGCGGGCATGGCATGGCTAAGAACATAAGTGGTATTGATGCGGATGTTGTGATGATGTGCATCAGTTTGATAGAGACTTGTCCGAAGACCTGCAAGCATGAACAATGTCTCTCTAATTATCTGGAGTTCGGTAATATCGTTCTTCACGCCGTCTTCATTGGCTGTGTTATTCCAAAATTGAAGATTCCTAAGCTCGGTGACAAACTCATGTTTGTCTGCGATGATACATGCTTCTGGATCGTACGTGTCATCCTCATCCACGCTCGTCGCAGGAGTGGATGGGGTTTTTTCGCGCCTATTAGGCGTCTTCTCATCGGCCGATGAGTCGTCTGCATCGTCAATATCCTTCCAAATTTCCTCGTCACTATAGGGATCTGCCTCCAAGATCTCAGACCACGTGAGAACTGGTGGGGGGCTAGGTGGTCTCAGTAGCTCCAAAGCCTCGACTTGGGTGTTTTCGAGTGGTCTATCAGCCAGCAGGAGCAGTAAAGATAGGTAGTCCGGCTTAAATTTGCTTGTCAGCCCCTCCAGCTTCTGGAGTCGCGTCTGCAGAGCGTCAGCCAAATCATCGCGGCTCCTTATTCGAAACTTCTCGTCTAAGCCTGCGAAACGAGCTGTGACTTCAAACTGATTTGTGCGTGCATACTGATGCCCCCGTAGTCCACGTGACGCGATGTCTTTTGCGTGTTTGTAGGCTTGTCTGTTGCTTGCCGGGTCAAACTTCAGTATCGACTGTATCAGCTCATCTGTGAGGCTACTAAACTTTGCATTGTGCGACATCCCGATGCGTCCTCGGCCCCAGCTGCTCGCAAGAACAAGGTATGATGGCCAGTAATGAGACGGGTGTGGTGGTGCTACTGCTATCAATGCTCTACGTGTTGGAGTTGATGCATCGACCGCCACACTTGTCTAATTCGAGCCTAGCACAAGCCCACGCGTCACCGATCATGAAACTCCAGACCGCATCCGCGTTGGTGGAGCGAGCGCATGTGAGAGATTCTTCAGCCAAACTTGGGAACTCTTGTTCTTAGAGTTTCCAGACATCTCATCCGCCGCCCACAGTCACTACGTAATTCACTGCGTGATGGCGCTTCCCAAGGGCATGCGCTTTTTGGCGGGCGCCACCTTCTGCATCTTCATCTACATGTTTGTGCAGATGATGAAGAGTCCAGGTTCTGAAGGTTCACTCAAGGTTCCGAGTAAGAGCCCGGCTGATGCTGGGCGCAAAACTTGGGGAGATTGGGATCATGATCCACAACTAGACCGTATGTATTACCCTTGGCTTTCACATTCAGAAATCGCACAAGGCAGAGAGTGTAGGGTGAAAGAGACTGATGACGACGCACCTATAGCATCTGGTGAACCACCGGAACCCTTACGCAGAGTCGACGGCGATAATTACGCCCCAGGCAACCCCAACAGCGCTCGTATAAACGCGACCATACTCTCTCTAGTCCGCAATGAAGAACTCAAAGATCTGCTGCAGAGCATGCACGACCTCGAACGCACATGGAACCACAAGTTCAATTACCCGTGGACCTTCTTCAACGACAAGCCCTTCACCAAGGAGTTCAAGGAGAAGACTCGCGCTGCCACAAACGCAGAAGTACGCTACGAGCTTGTTCCTCCTGAGCACTGGGAAATACCATCATGGATAAACATGGACCTATACAGCGAGTCTGTTGCACTCTTCGGGAAAAAGGTGCAATACATGGGCATGAAGTCGTATCATCAAATGTGCCGTTGGAACAGCGGCATGTTCAGCCAACATCCTGCTCTCAAAGACATACAGTACTACTGGCGTGTGGAGCCCAACGTCCACTTCTTCTGTGACGTCGACTACGATGTCTTCGCATGGATGCAAGACCACAACAAAACCTACGGCTTCAACATCAACCTCTACGACAGCCCTGAAAGCGTTATCACGCTTTGGCCCGAAACCAAGAAATTTATCGAAGACAACCCCGGTTATGTCCACCCCAACAATGCGCGTGAATGGCTCGAAGATGACAAGCGACGGCCTGAGAACGCGGAAAAGGCACGTGGGTACTCTACATGCCATTTCTGGTCGAATTTTGAAATTGGTGATTTAAACTTTTGGAGGAGCAAAAAATATCGTGATTTCTTCGACCACCTCGACCGAGCGGGCGGCTTCTTCTACGAGAGATGGGGTGATGCGCCGGTACACAGTGTGGCGTTGGGTCTGTTTGAGGACAAAAGCAAGATTCATTGGTTTAGAGATATCGGATACCAGCATATCCCATTCTTTAACTGCCCGAACAGTCCGAAGTGCTCGGGCTGTGTGGCAGGGCGGTTTACCGATGGCGAGAAGTGGTTGAACAAGGATGACTGTCGTCCTTTGTGGTTCAAGTACGTTGGTATGGACTAAGAGACAGTTCACGATGAGGCTCACAGGCATGTAAACAATATCCAAGTATGAACATATTTCAATGTATAAGAATGACGGTTGGAATAAACAACTAGTCATGCTCATTGGGCATTTCTCATTAAATTTGGAGTAAAGCCACAGCCTTAAAAAGTGAGGGCCATGAACAGCATTAGCGAATCAGTACGATGCAGGGGCGACATACTCTGGCCTAATTTGGTTGACGACCACGTTCGACGATTTGCCTTATACTCATCTATAAGTAATGCTCAAGACGATGTCGTATAGGATCGATCCACGCTATCCAAAAACCAAATAGCTGATGCAGTTGCCAGCTCTAAGACATATCCTTCCAGTGACATCAACTTCGTTAGCGCAGTACAAGAACGCACACTGACTAGCGCCGCGGGGGTTACGGGACAGGATTTGTCGGAATCTTGCTTCAGTGCGACCGGTAGATCTATCAAGTTAAAAGCTGGATCCTGTTTGGTTTGACACTCTCTTGGACTTGGCCTTCCGTATTCCAGTCAGAAGTTGTTCAAGTCTATGCTAACGTGATCCACCACCGAGCGCCCACCCCCACCGAGCGCCCACCAACACCAAAATCACCAAATTTTCAACACTAAATTCTTAATAACTATAGCACCTCTTAATAACACGCTTGTAGCAATTAAATCCTTAACTTTTAGAGAAGATTTTATATATTTAGAAATAGTAGAAAAGTATAGTCACTTATAGTTAACTGTATCTAGATATTACTAGAAAATTTAGTAGGTATATACTACTACTCTACTAAATTGTTGAATACTTAAAACTTTAAAAAAAGCTTATAAAGTATATTAAATAGCCTTATAAGTAAGAATTACCCCTTATATAAACTATAATTTAAAATTTTATAACTAAAATATTAGGGAATTATACAAGTAAAAGTTAGGTATAGCACTTTATTAACTACTAAAACATTAGTAATATTTTTTATAAGGCTACTAAGCTTAATTATAACTACTTTAAGGTATTACTTATATTTTAAGCGTTTATACTAAAAAATAAAGTACTATAATATTAATAGTTAGGATATCTATAATATAGATTTATAGGGGTTTCTTATTAAAGTACTCTTAGAAACTAAATATATAGTTAATAAAAGCGCCTATAAATAGAGAAGGTTTAGAGCTATACTATAGAATAGTAATAGAGGGTAAATTACTACTATAGCTTATATATACGCTAATAGTACTACTTATATCTCTACTCTTATGTATTAGTCCTAATCTAGAGCTCTATAGGATACCTTGTTATAAGATTTTAACCTATTATAATACTAAGCTTTTTTTATAGGATTACTAAGTAGGTATAATAACTTAGGTAGGTAGGGCATCCAAAAGGTATCCTATACAACTTAAAGGCATATAGGAGTGTGCGTCTATATAGAAAAGGATAAGATTCCTACACCTATAGGTCTTATATAAAAGGACAAGAAGAATATACCTATCCTAACTATAGGCGAGCTGCTCTCTATATATATTAGTAAGTTAGGCCTTTATTAGGCCTAACTTAGTATAGAATAATAGGCAAGCAATTCTACCTTATTAGTATACTACCCCCTCCTATAGAGAAAGGATAGTCCCTATCCTTAGGATTAGGTTTAGATCCTATATTAAAGAAAAACTCTTGTAAAATAATTCTGCCTTTACCTCTACCTTTACCTTTACTTCTAGCTTCCTAGGGTATAGACCTCTATCTATAGCCTGCTTATAACTAGCCTTCTACCTACTAACTTTCTTATTCTTATATCCCTAATTTTTTAATTATTTACCCTAATCTATCTAAAATCTAGTAAGTATTTAATCTATATAATTAAGTAGTTACTAATCTAAATTAGAACCTTTAGCTATACTAGTACTAGTACTACTAGGAGTCCTACCTATTACCTATCGCGCTCTCTATATAAGGGTAGTTAGGGCTCTAGCTAGGGGTAAGTTTAATAATTTTAATTTTAAGTTAAAGAATTCTAATAAGTGCTAGTACTATATTTCCTAGAATAAGTATTATAATCCTATTAGTATCTAAGTCTAGTAGGGTTCCTTTTCTAATCCTTATAGATCCCTTCCTTTGTTAGCTAAGAGTACTATGCCCTTAGGGGTGCTCTAGATAAGTTCTATAGCCTAGTTACAAACCCTACTAAAGGGGATAAGAATAAGGAAGCTGTGGTTACTTATTAGAAGGATGTTAAGTAGTTTAAGGCTACTATTTAAGAAGCTACCTAAAACCTAGCTAAGTGCGTTACTATTACTAATACTTAGACTAAGGGCATAGAAGCTACTAAGATCCTTATAGCTATATATTATACTACTATATCTAATTTATATTAGCTTTAGAATAGTATTTATAAGATAGTCTTAGTAGTTAGGGGCTTAATAAGGGCTATTAATACACTTAAGGAGGAAACAGCACTAAATTAGGAGGTAACCTTTATAGTATTAGCTAAGATAAAGGCGATTATTAAGAAGCCATCTAAATCTATTCTAGCTCCTGCACCTACTCTAAAACTAACTGCACTAGTTATCTAGAAGCTAGCTAAGAAACCTAGTCTAGGCAGTATTAAAGCTAATATAGAGTCTAAACTAGGTTCTAATATAAAAATAGATATAGAATAAAAGAGGTTTCCTAGGGGTAGTGTCCTAGGAACCTTAAGAGTTCTAAGACAGGTCTAAATAGGATACGACAATAAATACTAGCAAGAATACTAGTAATAGATAGTAGTTAATAGCTTAGTCTATATCTAAATATAATATAAATTAGATCCTATATTAGATATAATTATTATAAAGTAATATTAGATCCTCTTTGCCTTTTTCCTATACTTTAATCTATTTTAGTAAGCTACGTGGGGGACCTAGCTAATTTAGATACTATTAGTAGAATACCTATAATTTATAGGGAGCTCCTATAAAGTTAGAGGTAGGATACTAAATAGGATTAGGATTGTGTCTAACCTACTTAACCTTATATTTTAGCTTAGATTAATATAATTTGCTAGCTAGGATTTCTTCTACCTCCTATTCCTCTATACCTTGTATAGGGATACTAGGGGGTTTTAGAGCCTCTTATCTAGGTAATAGGTCTTAGGGATCTTTATATAGTATATTAGGAGAGAAAATATTATAGATCTTAGAACTAGGTAGCAATTAGAGGTAATACGCGTTTCCTACTTGTTCTAATACCTTAAAGGGACCTTCCTAGCGTTTAGATAGTTTTTAGCTAGGTTGTAAAATAGCAATATTAGTAGTAGATAAATAAATATAGTTACTAACCTTCTAGTTAACTAGATAGTAATAATAATTAGTAGTAGAGCGTATTTAGTTCTAAGCTCTTTCTATATTTTCTTTAGCAATCTTCTATACGTTGTGCATCTAAGTAGCAAGGGATAAGGCGTCCTTATAGTTTAGTTTCTCTAGTATAGTAGATAGGGTCTTTTCTAGTTTTTAATACTAGCTTTACTTTAGTAAGGAGCTAAAGAGGAGCTAATATAGAGCTATACTAATAGATAAATAGGGAAGAGTACTTTAGGCACAGTCTATTATAGGTAATAACTTACTCTAGGTAGCCTAGTAATAGGATATAAATAGCCTTAGTCTCTAATTAATATACTTATTTATAATCTTAGTTTATCTATTAATCTATTTATAGTAGGTAGTAGAGAGCTTAACTTTAGTGCCTATACTCTAATAGAACTTAGACTAGAAACTAGATACAAACTAAGGGCCTTAATTAGAAATAATAGTATCTAGAGTGTGTCTAAATTAGTACACCTACTACACGAATACAGTAGCTATACCTTAGGCGTCTATAGTTTTATAGTAAGGGATAGTATTAGCTTGCTTTAATAGGTAATTAATAATAACTATAATCTAATTATAACTAAGTTAATCCTAGGGAAAATCCTTAAAATTAATGCACAGGTGCTGTATTAGTAGACTAGGGATAGGAAGGGGGTAGAGTATGCTAGGGAGTTAGTGCTATCTTAGGTGCCCTCTCCTGCATAGGATACAGTTCTAAATATAGCGTTTATAGGTAGTCTCTATACCTTTCTAGTAGTATTATTAGGCTAGAATCTAATAGGTTTTAGTAGCTAATAGGTAGGTAGTAGACACTTAATTATAAGCCTTATAATTTAGTCTAGTATATAGGACTAATCTAGTAGGCACGCAGAGTTAATCCTAGTAGAGAAGGAGTCTATTTTCTATTTAATAGTGCTTAAGCAACTCTAATCTTTCTATTAGGAATAAGGACCTATTTTCTTAGAGAAGAGTTTTAATAAGTTCTAGGGATCTAAGAGTTATAGGGTTCTAAACTACTATAATTAAAGTAAGGATTAGTAAGGAACGCTTAGCTAGGTAGTCTTGCGCTAAGTTAGAGTTAATTTAGGGGTATAACCTATCTAGGGCAATTATTACTTATAAGCAATTATCTCTTTAAGTAGTCCTAAGGGTAATTATATCCTATTCCCTTCTACTTAGGATATTAGCTTAGGCGTTATAAGATCTAGGAGTATACTTAATTTAGAAGTTAAAAGGACTTATAACCTCTAGCTATCTAGCTTACCTAGTACTAAGGACTTTAGTAGATATAAAGTACTCTAGTGCTTAGTAGTCTGTGTATACTTTAATAAGGTAGCAAGTACTAGTTAGGTTAGCACACTATTTCTTAAAGGCGCAGATTATTGCAAATAATTCTTTATTATAGATTTCCTAGTTAAGTTTAGAACTAGTAAGGGTCTAACTAAAGAAGGATATAGGGTACTATTTCCTATTTAGATGCTTCTATAAGAGGATAGCTGCAATAACTCTATTAGAGGCGTCTGTCTTAAGTTTTAGAGGGTACTTAGGATAGAAGTAAGCTAAGCTTAGGATCGCTAGCAGGGCATTCCTAAGCTAGTTAAAGGCTTGTTAGCATTCCAAAGTCTATACAAATAGGGTAGCAGGGCTCTAGAGAGTAGTTAA